AACAGGATAAGAAAAAAGCCTAATCATTCCTGCCAGGAACTCACTCCTCTTCCCACAGATGTCATCTGAAGAGAGTGACACCCATTTCCTAATTCACCCTCCCAAATACTTCAATCTAATCAGAGATGCAATCTAGAGCTCACGATGCATTAAGTACCCTAAAGCTCCTGCCTTCGCCTCCACGCTGGCTCCTGCTTAGGACCAGAACAATTACCAGATTTGATAGCTACCAAGCTGTGCCCTAAGGATGCCCTAGGCCCCAAGCATCCCCACCTCTGCTAATCATATACCCACGGTTTCCACCGCTCAGAACTCCAGCTCCCGTGGGGCCAGCACATATGCCCCAGAGCAGAGAATCCCCTGAGGAGCGTCCTGAGATAATTCTTAGGGAGAAGCCAATTAAGTAAAGCACTCTCCATAAAGTCAAGTCCTTTGCTAAGCACAACTTGCTTAAGTTTGCCTGTTCTAGAACCTCCGCACGGGGAAAGCTTCCATCCGCAAACCACGGCTGAGCCTAGTTCTGCTCCTTACAGTCAAGCCTCTGGTTTCCAGCATTCTTACAGTCGAGGATAAAATAACGTGGGCTGCGGTGGAACGGAAAGGTGTAGGAGCCCCTGAGCGAGCTGCAATCATGGCTACCCAGGATCCCAGGTCCCGGTGGCCCCGTGCAAAGCACAGCGGCGCGCGCTGAGCCCGGAGCTCCGCCCGGCACTCCGCACAGCGGCCGCTGCCTCGGCTCGCGCGGGGCCGGGCCGCGGGGAGCGAGGGCGGGACCATGACTCACGAGGCGTCAAGGAGGCAGCCGCCCCTCCAGCGGCGCTGGGCGAGGGGCTGCGCCCGCGGCTGGTACGCATGCGCGCCGCCGAGAGGCTCGGGCTCCCTCCCCGCCCACCCTCCTCCTCGCACCGCCCCCTCCCTGCATCCTCGCCTGGCTGCCTCTCGTCGCCGGCTGGGTGCTGAAGTTGGGCGGATGGCAGCGCACCAGCGCCGCTAGAGGACCGAGCCGCCCGCCTGCGCCCCCGGACCGCTCGGTGCGCTGCCCACCCTCCAGGCACTGGGTAAGAGGTGGCCGTGGAGGCTGAACGATGCTGACTCTATGACAGCAAAATGTCTGCTTGGACGGAGGGATGCGTTTTGAACACCGGGAGGAGGCTAGAGGAGAGAGGGGGCGGAGAGCAATGCCGCGCCCGCGGGGCGCCTGCGGGCCGGGGTCTCCTCGGGGCGAGAGCCGGCTCCACGAAGTTGGAGCCGCGGGGCTGCGGGGCTGGTCGGCTCTCCGCTCCGGAGCGGCGGCCGTGAGTAGTCCGTGAGCGGCCGCCGAGGGAGGGCGCCCCGGGGGGTCCCCGGCGGCCGCGGAGAGTGGAGCCCGGGGCTGGGGTGGGGAGCGCTGGGCGAGGGCCGACCCCGGGGGCGCAGGGTCCTGCGGGGGCTTTGTGATTGTTGGTTAGAAAACTGACTGGAATTCAGTTTTCCACCGACCCATCTCCTCCGGGTGGTGTTTGCTCATCCTTACCTTTCTCTGCCTTTGGGAAAATGCACTGTTCTGGTGGAGAAGGTGTAAGCTGAGGCTTTGCAGAAATGCATACTTTTAGCAGCAACCGAGCGTGTGTGTGTGTGTTTCTGTGCGTGTGTATGGGGCGGTGGGGGTCTCTTTTGTTCCTTCCCCTCCCCGTAGTCACGGAAAGGGGAGTTCTGGTGTGGGTCCATGGGGTCGATTGCACAGCCAGCGACAGGCGACGAGGAGGAGGAACGCCCACCAGCCCTCGCGCCGTTGCCCAGGTGGGTGTATCGGAGGCACCCTGTCAGTGGGTGATGGGGATTCTTTTTATTATTGACGGCCTCGGTGTAATCGCTGCCTCCTCGCCAGCCGTTTCCTCCTCTGCTTCCTCCTGGGCTGCGGCAGAGGCTGGGTGCAGGCACTCGGCCGTCTGCTTGCCTCTCCTCTCCCCACCTCCCCGTCTTCGTGAAAAATGCCGAGGACCTGAGGATGGCGGAGGGACCAAACTGGCCACGCAAGCCGCGGACGCTGAGGTGATCCAGCGGGCGGGAAGCGGCTGGCGGCGCCTCCCGGGCAGCCCGCGCCCGCCTCGGGAGTCCCAAGGCTCCCCGAGAGCCGGCAGGGGTCGCCTGGCCAGGAAGATGCCTGCCGCGCGGGGACCCGCCCTCTCTCGGCCGCCACCATCCGGAGCCCGGGACGCCGGCTCACCTGGTTTAGTCTCGTCGCTCCGGGAAGACCGACCGTGGCCCGAGGCATGCTTCCCCTAACCTCCCTGACCCTTCGCGAAATGCTGTAAGAGAGTCTGCAAGGTTTGTCTGCAGAACTTTGCAAGCTTCCCATAGTTATTCCTTGTTTTTCATTGTTTTACATCGATTCTTTCCATCTTGGAATAGCAGTCAGATCTCAAATAATAAAAGAAAACGCTTATAGTTTGGTTTCCAGCTAGAGTAAGCATTTCCGAGCCTGGAAGTCATCTGCCGTTTCCGGCGTTCATACAGACCGTTTTTCCCCTGTGATGAACCCATCTGAAAATCATTTAACTGGAGATAAACCATTTTCGCTCTTGTGTTGGGAAGCGATGTTTCTCTCCTGGATTCATAGCTGCTGAACACTTAGGTGTAGCAAATAATTTTGAAAATGGGGAAACCCTTTAAGTAAATTGTGTATTTCTAAGTCGTTGGTATTAATAGTAGCAGATATCCATTGTGGCACTAATGTCTAATGAAAAGGTGATTCGAAGTCGTTAATTCAAATGATTCAGAAGGTCGACTGCCTCCAGTTGTTAAGTTACTATTATTAAGTTATTTCTTCTGTTAGCATGAAAACGAAATAATTAGCGCACTCATGGACGAGTACACTTCTTCAGGCTTTTTATAATCTGGAAAAGTATATTGAGGGCAGCCATGGGAGAGCAGTTAATTCCTGGTTTTTGGAAATGAGAAAATAGGGGTTTATGATTACAAAAAGATTGGGTGATATTATTTCTTAAATGACATGAATCTCCATAGCGATGACACTTGATCCCAGAGCCAGGAGCACTCATCCTTCTTCCTGCAACTGTAGTGGGAAAGATTAAGAAAGCCACCCAATTTACAGAACACCCAAAAGGGTTCCTTGTGCCACTTTCACCCTTCTTGCTTTGGCTCCTCGACTATTCCTTAGTGTGTAATCCCTATGTAGGTTCAGTTCTAAGGCATCCAGCTTTTCCTCCTCAAGTAGGTATATCTCATTAGCTTTTTCCCACTGGATCTTAATTCATTTGAACTCACAATATTGAATGTCTAAGTCCATTATCAAGGAGCTCTGATAGCGTAGTGCCTAAGGCCCTTGACTGCTAACCAGAAGGCTGGCAGTTCAAACCCAACAGCTGCTCCTGGCTCCTCGGAAGGAAGATGGGGCAATCTACTTCCATAGTGATACTGCCTCAGAAACACAAGGAGGGGTCTCTATGAGTCGGGACTGACTCAACGGCACATAATAACAAGTCCATTATCAAGGAGCTCTGGTGGTGCAGTGGTTAAAACATTTGGCTGCTAACCAGAAGGTCAGTGGTTGAAACCCACCAACCAATCCATAGAGGGAAGATGAGACAGTCTGCCTCTGTAAAGATCTACAGCCATGGACACCATGGCGGTCACTGACTGAGTCAGAGTTGACTTGATGGCAGTGAGTCTGGTTTGGTTTGGAAGCCATTATCACTCCTGTGGACTTCGTATATATTTGTATAATAATAAAATAATAGCCTTCCTTAGTATTTCCCACCACTAGGGCTAGAGGCTTTGAAGAAAAGGATAAATGAATATTCTTAGCCATTTGGCATCATTATAACAATCAGATAAAATGAATGATCTGAAGCTAAATTGATAGAATTCTGGTTGACTCATAGGCTAAAGAGTGAAAAGCATTTACCTGTTAATCCACAGCTGTGGAGATAATGGACTTCAGAGTAAAGTTCGTTAATTGAGGCACACAGGCATTTCTGGAAAAATGGAAGGTGGGCTAGGCAGACTACCCATTAAGCACAGGATTACTTGTGCTTACTTAACTAATTTCACTTACTGATTTTACTAAGTAAGCACAAGTCAGCCCGTGCTTACCTTGTTTCCTAGGTACTCTGTCCCTGTCAGGGATTGTAAATTTGAAACGAGGCTGTGCCTCTGTAGGAAGATGCTGTGGGGTAGGAAGACAGACTGATGCCAGCCATACCTAGAAGCAGAATCTTTGATGTGGTGTAAAAGAAAAGAAAAAGCAAGTTCAGTTGTGCACTACGGGCTATTATTTAAGCCACGCTTACCTTGTTTATTGGGTAAAACAGCACTGAAGGTGGGCATAGACAGTGAGGTGTGGAGCCAATAGGGACAGGAGTCCCTGCAGCTAAATTTCTGCTGAGAGTCCTTCTACTGATAGTGCAGCTCTGCTTGCTTAACACTGTTGTTGTTGTTGTTATGTGCCGTCGAGTCGGCCCAACTCATAGCAACCCCTCCTTGGGTTTCCCAGGCCGTATCACTACGGAAGTAGATTGCCCAACCTTCTCTTTGAGGAGGGGCTGGTGGGTTTGAACCGCCAGCCTTCTGATTAGCAGTCAAGTGCCTTGCCACTACGTTACCAGAGCTCCTTGCTTAATGATGTTGTTATTGTTGTTATTTGTTGTTGAGTCGGCCTCGACTCATATCGACCCCTCCTTGGGTTTGTGAGGCAGTATCACTACGGAAGTAGATTGCCCAACCTTCTCTTTGAGGAGGGGCTGGTGGGTTTGAACCGCCAGCCTTCTGGTTAGCAGTCAAATGCCTTAGGCACTATGCTACCAGAGCTCCCTGTTTAATGATAAAGATACTGAATTCCCACCCAGAATGGCGAACGTGAGCACCCCTGTGTACAGTAGAGGAGGATAATGCCGTGATATTAAAAGCATTTCATTTCGTGGGACTACGAAATGATATCGCATTGCTGGGATTGAATGGGGTCATTCTGGATCCTCAGAGAGAAGTTTTTATGGAAAACTTACAAAACAACTCTTTGATGTGGGTAATCAGAATTTTCAATTATTAGTGGTTCAAGTTTCAATTATAATTATTATTGGTGGTTCAAGTTTAAACAGAAAATTTTACCTTCCTTATCTTCCCTCTTCTCCACTGATCCCCCAAAAGCCACTTTCCAAACATGTGAAGAAAGTCATTTTGATTGCCTTTCATGCTATTGAGGAGCTCTGGTAACATAGTGCCTAAGCACTTGACTGCTAACCAGAAGGCTGGTGGTTCAAACCCACCAGCTACTCCTCAGAAGGAAGGTTGGACAATCTATTTCTGTAGTGATGCCGCCTCAGAAACCCAAGGAGAGGTGGCTATATATAAATCGGATCCCACTGGATAGCAATGGTTGTTGCCTTTTTTTTTTTCTCCCTGCTATTGTGTCAACACCTAGCCCCGTGTCTGCTCAAAGGCAGGTGCTAGGTAAATGTTTCTTAAATGAATAAATTTTGTAGAATTTCCAGGAGTCAAAAAGTCTTCCAAGGGCCAGGATTGCATTTTTAAAAAGAACTCTCATGTACTTTGCCTAATTCAATATCCTAAATATAAATTCGATACCCTAAATATAAATTCGATAACTGTCATGTCCATGGTTCTACGTGTTTTGAGGAAGCAGTCTGTAGAGGTGATCTCTCTTAGTAAATATGTAGTGCCTAAGGCATTTGAGTGTTAACCAGAAGGCTGCCACTCCTGGAAGGAGGACTGGGCAATCTACTTCAGCAGTGATACCTCAGAAACTCAAAGAGGGGTCGCTATGCATAGGCTCCGACTCATCCGCTGTGAGTTTGGTTTGGTTTGGTTTAACCTAACACTTTGTTGTTGTTATGTGCAGTCGAGTCGGACCCAACTCATAGTGACCCTTCCTTGGGTTTCCAAGGCAGTATCACTGCGGAAGTAGATCATCCAGCCGACCAGCGACCAGTGTTCCTTCCAAGGAGTGGCTGGTGGGTTTGAACCACCAGCCTTTTGTTTAGCAGTCAAGTGCCTTAGGCACTAAGCCACCAGAGCTCCTTATTCTAGTGCTAATATTAAT